GCGGGGGGAAGCACACAGGGGCCAGCCCTGTGTCGAGGGGCTGCAGGGACATTTCCCAGACATTTCAATCTTGGGGAAGACAACTGGAAGTGGGGAGGTGTGTTTTAGCCAGGATTGGTTTTCCAGATTACCCCTGTGCTGGCACAGGAGAGGGACACAGGACAGGGTCAACCCCGCACAGCCGGGGAGGCAGGACCGCTCCAGCAGCGACGCCAGGCTAAAGGCAGGTGACTCACAGCCTCTCCACGTCCAGTCTGTCCACCCCACTGTCCTCTTTGCACTATGATTGCACGTTCACATGCAGGGTTACGAGTTTCTGCATTAGCCCACTTCTGCACCAACTTTGGAGCTTTGGGACACTTTGTCCAGCTCCGGCGCTGAGGCACCCCAGGAGACGGCAAAGCCACGCAGGTCGGTGCCCAGCACAGTGCTTGGGGCTGTGGGCAGGTTCCTCCCTTGTTCCCTGCCCTCAGCGGGTAAATCAGCCCTGGGCTGGGCTGGGGCTGCCCCAGGGAGGCTCCAGCTGGGCAGGCAGGTCGCCTGGGAGCTTCAGTGTCAGCTCGAGCTGGTTTAACTTCAACACCTTTATCAGTGCTTTCCTTTTCCTCTGGGGTGGTTTGACAGAAGAGGGTTAAAAATAGAGCCGGCATGTGCAGGCACACCAATAGGGTTTGGGCAAAAATTCCATCACTGGCCTGGGTTTAAACCCCAAAGGTGGGAGCTCCAGAGCGAGGTCCCAGCAGCACAGCCATCATCCAGAGAGCCCCAGGCACAGCTCACCAGCTCCGTGCTGTCCTCCTTCCAGGGCACACAGTGGTTCCCGGAGAGGTGTGGGAAGACTCACGCACCGTACCCCTCCATTCCCACCAGGAGCCATCTCCAGGAACCCACCACCATGTCCAAGGACGACATGGGCTGCAAGCTGACCTCGGTCTACAAGCACAAGGAGAGGAAGCCGAAAAAGCCGCACTACATCCCAAGGCCGTGGGGCAAGCCATACAACTACAAATGTTTCCAGTGCCCCTTTACCTGCATGGAGAAGTCCCACCTCTACAACCACATGAAGTACAGCCTGTGCAAGAACTCCCTCTCCCTCCTCATCGAGTCCGACTGGCCCTACAAGAAGGGCAATCTTCTCCACCCGGAGCTGCGGCTCCTGCACGCAACAGAGAGCTCCCGCCTGCGCGGGCGGCGGGACGAGCAGGAGACCTGCGACTCCTCGGCCACGTTGGGAGGGTCAGGTAGGACCAAGCAGGCCTCCGACAGGGACAGCCACGAGGACAAGCCAACATCAGGGGTGGAGATCCTGCCTGCTGAAGGGGCTGGTGAAGAAGGTGGCTCATTCCAAGAGGCAGAGGACGACGTTGCTGGCTTGTTGAGGGAGATGGATGAGGGAGAGAAGAAGGAGAAAAATGAAGAGGCAGGTTGCCAAGGTGACCCAGTTGAACCAGAAGTGAACACTTTGGTCTTTGGTTTCAAGAACAAGAGAGATAAACCTTGCAAGGAGGTGGAGTCCGACTTCATCATCACAGATGTCTTCTCTCTCAAGAACCACGTCATGAAAAGCAGGGAAATGGCCTCCCCAGATCTAGATGCTAAGCCAAAGCATTGCAAAGTGCCAAAGAAATGCCTGGCCAGTGGCGGGATCCTCATGGAGCAGTGGAAGCTGGTGGCAAATGGGCAAAGGAGGAACACACCTGAGGTCTCCTCAACTTGTACCGATGGCAACATCATCCCGTGCTACCCCCCTCCAGCCTACAGTGACTATCACGAACCTCAGGGCCTCAACCTGTCCCTGCTGGGCATTAACTACCCTTTGAACCCCAGTCTCTTCTCCTACCTGAGCCCCACCATGGCCAACAGCGCTACGACACACCCGCACTTGGCTCAGCTGCCCTTCCTGGCCTCCACGGCCCAGCTGATGCACCCGCATGCCTCCCACTTCCAGCCTCTGCAGAGCCCCGAGCGCTCAGCCTTCCTTCCCCGCTTCTACTACCCCTTGCTCTTCGAGCACACCTTTGGCTCCACTGAAAACAAGATGTCCTCCACCAAGCCAGAAGCCCAGCAGCAGCTGGTGGGCTCCGTCATGTCCACGCCGCCCCAACCCAAGCCCCCCAGTGAGCCAACCAAACCAGGGCTGCTGAAGGTACCAGTTCTGAAGACAAGTTTTCCTTGGTCCAAAGGGGTCAGAGAGGAGCTGGCCTCTGAGCTCAGCCACCCCACCATGCTGGGGCAGGAAGAAGAGGAGAAATGGTTACCTCAAGAGCAGGACAGCAACCCAGCTTTGGGTCTCAACAACCTACGCAAAAAGCCAGACACTGATGTCTACCAAAATCTGGTGGGGATGAAGGACAGTGCTTTTGCCCCCAGCACCATCCGGAAGACAGAGTTACCAGCGGTGACCTGTCTGGAGACCAGCAGCCCTCAAGACAACTCCCTGAAGAGGAAGCTCCCTGCCAACGGGCTGGATTTGATAGGACCCGAAAAGCTGATGCCTAGAAAACTCAGCTACCAGAGCAGGTAAGGTGCCTGTGATCTCTCTGCCTCCTCCTCACATCTGCCTGACCCTAAATATCATCATCATACCCCATCGTATCCCTGATCCACCTGCTTGCCTCTAAACTAAGAGATGAGTCTCCAAGGGCTGAGCACCCTCCAGGCTGAGGGTCCTGCCAGTGCCCACCCGGAGCAGGGCTTCTGCCCTCCAGGAACAAAGGACCTGAACAGCTTCAGGTGTGTCCAAGCGCCTGGGCTGTGTCACCACTCACTGTCCCTCACTTTCCCCTGTTTTATACAGAGCCAGAAGTGATGCGGCATCTGTGCAGTGTGTACCTGAGCTCCTCAGGCACCAGGAAACCTTCCCCAGATATCCCATGGTTGCTGGAAGAGTCATTGCCTATTTTTAAACATACACATTTGCATTCCTTTGATTTGCCTTCTGGTTTCAAAACCCAGAGGGAGGGTCACGTTTCCAAACATTTCCTTTAACCTGGGGCTAGAAATGTGCACAGCTCCTTTTAACAAAATTTCAGTTCCTCCCCTGGTTGTGCAAGTCCAGCTGTGGCTCTGAGAAAAATGTCACTGTAAACCCCACTGCTTTTGGCACCCAGAGAAGCTTCCTCTGGAGAAGCTCTCCGTGGTTTTCCATCTCCACCTTCCTCTCCCCTGCTCTCGGGCTGGCTGGAGAGATCCCTTCCAACTGGTCCTTCAGGACCATGGGATAGTCATTTCCATCAACATTCTCCAGTGCTCCAAGAAGGAGAAGCCACGTTGGGCTATCTGAGGTGGGATCACCCATGAGCACCATCTCCCCAGACTGATGTCTCCCTTTGTTGGTGGTGTCACGACATAGCCTGTGTTGGGGTCCACCCACCTCCTGGGAGAATGATGCCAGGAGCCGGTCCAGCCAGGGCTCCACATGCTCAGACCAAAGCCCTTCCTGGAAGGCCCTCATGCTGGCAGCAGACAGCAGAGGAACCCTGGCTGAATCTGGCAATGCTCGCCCTGGACATAGACCCATGGATTTTCCTGAAAAGTACCCGCTTCTTCTCTGCAGTGGTTCAAGGGCCAATCCTGGCCACATCCCCAAGGCCCTGGACCACTGGCACCCAGAGGCCCTTACAGGACGACCTGAGGAACCAGAGAGGGGCAACGATGCTGAAGTTCTTCCCTCTGTGGGTGCTGGCCTGGACCATGGCCTCTGCAAGCAGAGCAGACCCCAGGAGTCTTCTGCCACCATGACAGACCCTGAGGCCACAACCGTGCTTATCGGGGACCTGTCCAAAACCTTAGAGGAGTATCAAGAGGTGGAGAAGAAACTGTCTGACCTGGCAAAGGAGGACACCCCTGGGCAAAAAGAGCTGAGGGACCAGCTGGTCAAAATCCGAAAGGAGCTTTACCACATCCACCAGGCACTGGAGAAAGCCACCAAACCCCACGAGGGGCCTCTGGACCTCTCAGTGAAGAGACCTTCTGAAGGTCTGGAGAAGGTCCAGCAGGCCAAGAAGGAGCCCTACAACATGAGCCTGGGAAGCGAGAAGGTCCATGGCAAAGACCAAGGTGCCCTCAACAAAGGTACAGCCACTGGGGAGGCTGGAGACACGGAGGGGCTGCCAAACTGCTTCCTCGAGGACGAGAACAAAACCATTGACCTGCTGATCAAGATGAGCCGCTCTGAGAGCCTCCGGGCATCCTCCTCTGAGGCCCACCTGGGTGCGGTGATCAAGGCTGAGGTCCTGCCGCTCACCATGCCCCTGGAGCTCCGGCACGTGATGGAGCCCTACTACAGCCGTACCACCAAGTGCGAGGCAGACTCCAGCGTCCTGCTCTGCTCCGATGGCCGATCCAGCACCGCCCAGGGCCCTCCGCTCCCGGTCACTGCCGAGGACGGGCCCCTGGGCTGCCGGGCCATGCAGCGCTCCCTGTCCTGCAGCCTTCCCAGCGAGACAGACGCCGTGTGTGTCCACAGCCCTCTGCATGCTGACCCCTAAGTCCACCTTGCTCGAAAGCTCCTGGATCTCACCAACCACCTCATGCTTCACCTTCCTAGCATCCCACCTCTCCGTTCCCCCTCTGCCCTACGGATGAAAGCTTCACCACTGCCTGGCTGGGACCACGTCGCATGGGGTCTCAGCTACCTCCTCCGGCTGACTCCACACGGTGTAAGAAACCAGTCCCTGCCCTGCTCCGGTGCTCCTGGGCTCTGCAGGCTCCACAGCCTCAGCTCCCTGGTCCTGGAGCTCCTTTTGAAAGAGAAGTCACTAGCAAGAAAGAAAAGGAAATTGCTAAAAGCACCGAGATTTCAGCAGAAGGCTCATCCAGCTCTCTCATCAGAGACACTCAGGGACTTTTGCAATCCAGCTCCCGTGACCTGTGGAAAGGGGAGGGACCACAGATGGGGTATCTGCAAGGCCAAGCCTGGGTCCAGCTGTGGCTGTGCTCAAAGAGACTGTGGCTGTCACCTTGTACAGAGCAAAGGCTTGGTGGCTTTTCCCCATGGTGGCTTTGAGGGTCACAGCAGGGAATCAGCTGCCCAGCTGGACTGAACCAGCGGCCACGTACTTTCCTCACTGTGGAGAACATTCTCTCAGCCATAATGACAAGATGACAAAGGAGCCCCCTTACCACAGCTCCACACCTGCGCCCTGACCGCTCCTGCCAAAGGCATTTGCCATGTGTGGGGACTCCTGGGCTGTGGGGACTTGTTCCTGCCCACCAGTCCTCCAGTGTCTGTCTCTGTTTGCATTTGCGCAGAAAGAACCTTCCCTCACTCTGCTCCCATGAAGACATGATGCACTCTCCTCATCCTGCAGAGTACAGCTCCCATGAGCTCCTGCCCCCTGGTCTTAACCCCCCAAACGATGACACGTGGGACAGCAAAATGTGTGAGATGACGCTGCCACAAACCCCACTGCTCAAGGGTCAAAGACCCTAAAAACAACTGTGAAGGGATGAACTTGGCCAGTCCCAATCTGGGATGATGCTGAGCAGCCACCCCTCAGCCAGAGCAGCGGAGAGCCCCCAACCCACCACCCGGGCAGGTACCTGCTGATTGTGGGATGAGCTCTGGCCTTCCCGAGAGGCCACCTTCTCCCCATGCTGGCTAGCGGCTCTTGCCTCTGTTGGGCAGCTGGGACCCACCGCAGGGCAGTCGCAACCCCTGTCCCCTGCCACCATGCTGAGCAGCCTCTGCTCCAGCTCAGGATGTCCCCACACTTAGGCCAGGATTTCCTGGACTCCCTCCCACCACAGGAGGTTTAACGTGCTCTCCTCAGCTCAGCAAAGCCAGGCAACCTTCCTTCTCCCATCCGCACCCCCTGTTCAGGAGGTGGTGGGGTCTCCTGCTAGCACCCAGGGCCTCCACTGGCTTGACCTGGTGGCTTGTTCTTTGCAATGAGAAGAGCTGGGATGGCGGGTGGGAGGGCAGGACAAAGAGGACAGCAAGCAAAGCCACAAATTAAGGGACCTGCACAGCACAGCAAGGGAGCTTTAGACACTGGCTCTGCTCTGGGCACAAAGGGGACAATGTCACTGTGGGTGGCTGCAGAAGGGGAGCCTCCACATGGGACCTGGGGCTCCCAAGAACTTTGATGGACCCAGACAACAGGAAGAGTTGACTCTTCTCACCCGATTGCTCTCTGGACAAAGGTTCCACCTCACCAAAGCGGGTTATTTCTCACTCAAGGACTTGGCTTAGGGCACAGAGGCCTGTGGAGTTGTTGGTCTCTTCTGGAGAAAAGTGTGGGGCAGGGGACATTCAAAAGGAGAGATGCTCAGTTCAACACCGTGGCCCTTTCGAGCCAGCTCCAGATCTTCCTGATGGGCCACGTCCTGCTGCTTCCCAGCACAGTCCTGACCCCACAAAGCCCAAGTGGAGGTCATGAGACCCCACCAGAACAGACCCCAGAGCTTGGGTGCAGGATCCATGAGCCCAGAGCCCAGGGGAGGTGGCACTGGGCTTTTCTTTCTGGGTTTGAACAGAGCTGTGACCTTTGGATGCCATAACACCATCAGCACCGCAGCCCCCTCCACACCAAGCACCTTGCTCACGTCAACCACTCCCAACAGCCTGCCAGTGTCTCTCCAGCCTCTTCTGATGCCCTCTGCCCCTCTGCCACCCCATGCCACTCTGTCACCCACCTCTTCCCAGCTCCCTCACTCACACAGCGCTGGCAGCTGCTGTCCCCCATGCCAGCAGCTCCCCGTTCCCATGTCTCAGGGCTCCCTCCTCTCCCCTACACCAGCTTCTCTGTGCTCTGGGGCCCTCAACGTAAAAAAGACACGGAGCTGCTGGAGCGGGGCCAGAGGAGCCACGGAGATGGGCAGAGGCTGGAGCAGCTCCCGTGCGAGGACAGGCTGAGAGAGTTGGGGGTGTGCAGCCTGGAGAAGAGAAGGCTCCGGGGAGACCTTCCAGCACCTTCCAGTGCTGAAAGGGGGCTACAGGAGAGATGGGGGGGCTCTGGATCAGGGGGTGCAGGGATAGGATGAGGGGGAACAGGTTTAAGATGAAAGATTTGAGCAACCTGGGCTAGTGGGAGGTGTCCCTGCCCATGGCAGGGAGTGGAACTATATGATCTTTAAGGTCCCTTCGAACCCAAACCACTCCATTATTCTATGATCTTTCATGCCAGGCCCCTAACCCAGCGCACAGCAGGTCACCCACCAGCACAGCCAAGAAGCTGGAGCCCCACTGTCCCCATGACATTCTTCTCTGCCCAGCCAGCCTTTCCCTCTTCTGAGGAACACCAGGACATGTAAGTCCCTCTGCCCAGCCAGGAGCCCCATCTCCTCCCAGCCCGGAGCATCGCGTTGTTTTTCTTAGCAGATCCCTGTCTGAACTTGGGCACCTCGGAGGTCCAAGACACCAGAGGGGGAGCTGAGCTCTGTGCCCAGCAGCCCTGGG